GGCTTTGCTCCCGGTGCCTCTGGTCTGCTGGGGACCATCTCCAGCAGACCAGGGACACCGGGAGCAAAGGAGGCGGAGGGGCGCTGGGGTATAAGATGAAACCCTATCTTTTAATTAAAAAGATAGGGGGTCGTCTTATACACCCAGTCGCCCTATACGCCGGAAAATACGGTACTAAGAGCTTAAAATGCAGAGCCACAGCAGGGTTATCTCCTGGGGGCGGCACAAGCAGGCTCTGGGACCCTGCAACTCTGCCCCTTCATCCACCCCCCTCTTTCCCCCGCACCATGGAGACAGTGCCAGGCACACTGCTGGCACTCAGTAAATTAATGATGTATTGCTAGTTTGCATATACAGGTTGGACCTCCCTGCTCCACCACCTCATGACACCACCAGTCCCAAATGAGGGAATTTTCCAGGTCAGGGAAGGACCATGCTTTGCCCTCCTAACATGCTGCCCCTCCCTGCACCTGGCTCTGCTCCAGCCCCACTACAACTAGGCCCCAGCGCTGTAGGACTTGGCTCAGGCTCCGGCTTTACTTTGCCCTGTCTAGCCAGGGCTTCATGGGGAAGAGGCTCATCAGCTGCTGGTGGTGGCCCCACTGCTGTCCTGCCCAGGGATGGGGCTCACCAGCTACTGCCAACCCAGACTGGGGCACCTTGGTGAAATGGCTCCCCAGCCCCCACTGCTGCCCTGCCTGGCTGGAACTCCCAGCAGGTTCGCATTCCCACAGCCGGGGCTCTCTGATCCAGCAACACTGCTGGTCCTTCCAAACCATGGATATTGCCAGACCAGAAAGTCCCAGATTTAGGAGGTTCATTCTGTACTATATGTTGCATTAAAGACTAATTTTGAAAGCTTCAGAGGAGTAACCGAGTTAGTCTAACTAGAAAAACTTAAAACACAACAAATAGTCTAGTAGCACCTTAAAAACTAACAAAATATGTCGATTGAAGTGGGCTGTACCCACTAATTTTGAAATAAGGATCAGCTTAATATACTATTTCTCTTCATTTTCATGTATATGCAATGACAACATTCTGGCAAGCTTATTTATTTATGGGTTCTGCATGTTAAAAGCATCCCACTGTTTTCTTTTAAAATTAGCCCAACCTTGTACTCTTGAAGCAGCATGAAAGCAAAATCAATCAACAGTCTGCAATGAAAGACACAAACTGTAGGGAGGCCTGCAATCTTTTTTCCAATGTTATAACGCTATGAGGCTTCAGCATTCAGAGGAGGAAGAAATGACAGTAACAATGGGAGAAACCAGAAAGCTTTAAATTTTTTAATACTTAGGGGTTTTTTTAAATCTTGAAAAACTTTTTTATAAACCCTATTCTAATGTGTACTGATTATTCTCCAGATATTGTATAAGAGTGGACTGAGCAGTCCTTTCAATTCAATTTTACTTTTTTCAAAGCATGAAATTTTAAATACGTAAAAGCACAGAACAAATGCTTATCAATGTCTGCATGTCAAGACAGGTACAAATGGACATGCAAGTTAACTTGCAGAAGTAATCTTACAAACCTATTCAATATTAAATATCAGCAATACAGGCCCCGATCCTGCAAATTTTTCCTACATCACCAGACTCCTGTGTGTCTCATACAGAGCTTTACTCAAGCAGATTGGACCTCTGAATTGGAGGCCTTAAAATTGCAACAACAACAAAATGAACTGCCAAGACTCTTAAAATAGAAACCATCCTTTACAGCTACCATTTTGAAAGACACCGAGTAAGCCAGTTCTAGTCTAAAGTTCAGATCTGGGTTTCTCCAATTATTGACGGAGATCTAGTGAAAGTTATTTTGCATACATATATAGGGTTAGCTTTTTTAACAAATATTACTACAGATGCAATGCTGCATTTTGTGATACTGAAGAGCAACAACATAAGATGTAACTGTTCATAGTGGTAACAGCCAGGCAATGAATGACTCTTGCCACTAAAAACAAAAAGCATAGTGTATTTAAAATGTTTTTATTTGTTCTTCAGCACAATCATCTAAGAGTCTGGGGGGTTTTTTAAGTGTGTTTTATTGAGAGGCAATTACCTGCTAACCCTCAATTTTAACTAGCAGTACTACAAAAGACACAAAGTGGCATTCTAAAGCAGTAAAACATTTTACCTGAATCATAGATTATCCTTTTTTTCTTGTTTGTCTGCTTTCGTTTGGTATCATCTTCATTAGTTGAACTCTTCACCTAGTAGTAAAAGTCCATTATTTACACTATCAAGTTATTTCTATGCTTACAGCTTCTAGTTACTGAACTGCATTACATTAATTTCTAGCAGAAACATAGTAATGTTCATGTGTAAAAATAAATCTGAGAATTTAAACTATAAGTTTGTACTTAAGTAGCTATAAAACAAATGCAATAAAGCAATGAAAGCTTAAAATTAAAATTATCATACATCATCCTCAAAACCTCTGAAATTTTAAACAGCCTTATGGAATTTGGACAACTAATCTAATCAGAAATAAAACCATCTGGGCACCTGCAGAAATAAATGTACTAGCTAATATATAATTTGTTTGCTCCCTCTTTTTTTAACTACCATAACAAATAGATCTGTGATACCATCTAGTCTAGTTGCCAGTCTGATAGTGGCCAATCCCATACACACTTAAATGGAAGTTGTAAAAAATATTGTAACAAACAACTGTACTGTCATCTGCCTAAATGGGAGCTTTCTTCCTGAACCAGACAAACTGGTGGTTGTCTTCTGACTGACTAGGGACGAATCAGTTCCTGTTAATGGTTAAACTTCCACACAGCCAGGAGCCCTTGGGGCCAGGGTGCCCATTAAACATGTAACTGATGGAACTGTCATCAGCTACACAGTATTTTTTAACCCTTTTTATACCCCTGGGTAGAATGTAGTCATTTATAACTCTTGCGAAAATATATTATTCCTATGTAATGTAAATGTATATGTATCTATTATTCATAGGAAATGTCCAATTCTATTTTGAAATCTACTAAGCATTACACTTGTGAAACCCCTTGTCAGGCCAAGACTTTAACAGAGGTTAAAAAAGGACTACATACATTCATGCAGGATAGATCATGTCTATTAGCTAGAATGGCAGGGATGCTGTCCCTAGCCTTTTTTTGTCAGGGCTAGGAATGGGTGATGGGATGGATCACCTGATGATTACCTTTTCCATTCATCCCCTCTAGAGCACTGAAAGACAGGAAACTGGGCTAGATGTACTACTGGGTCTGACCAAGATGTCCATTCTTATGTACCTTAATTACGTTTTCAGTTCTACAAATTAACTATGGGTTGTATAAGGAAATTCTTTCTTACCAGTTTTAAATTTGTTGCACAGCTCCTTGTTCTTGAGTTATGAGGGTAAAGAGATGTACCAAATTCACCTTTTCTATACAATTTATTATTTTGTATCCTTATCTTCCCTCTCACTAGCGGTCTCTGAGCTAAAACAGTGAATCTTTTCAATCTCTCCTAATTCAGAAATCTTTCCATGCCTCTATTCATTTTTATCACTTGCCTCTGAACTCCCTGCCCACTTTGTTATATCCTTTTGAGACAGAGTTGCATTCTGATTATGCTTTCTACTCACATTAATTACCCTAATGTTAACAATATCCCATTACATACTTTGATTCTGAGCCTATAATGAGCTTCATGTAGGTAGTGCCCTGTACAAAAGTGACAATCTTTTTTCCCCAGGTATCAGACAATCGCAAAAATAGTTTGGAAGCTCAAGAATGGCAGCTTATCTTAAAAATACACCCTACAGACAGCAATATAAGTTATATCAAGGGTGCCTGAGGATGTAAACACAATAAATAAATGGGCATTTGCCTGAACAGAGCTCCTTACATAATCAGGACCTTACCAGAATTTGCTTATATATTTCATAGGATTGTTTCCATGACAGTATCAGAATCTTCCCCGCCCCCCGCAGTACATGGAAAACTAAGTTTTTTTATCCTATAAGAAAAGGATGTTACAAGAAGATTGGGATGCAGAAACAGAAGTAACTTCTGCTATAACTTAAATCCAACCTAGAAAATAGTTCTAAGACTAGAGAACTGTGTTTGCTCAGTTTTATTAGCCAAATTTGATTTAGGAAACATATTTCTCCTTTTCCACTTCTCATTGCCACACAAGACATAAACCCCAGCCTAAATGCTCTTCAGAAAGCAGAAATACTGACTACTGTGGAAGACTATGTTATTATAGACAACATTCCAGAGTACCATATTAAAACATACAAGTAAAAATGTTCCCCTGACTGTAAAGACCAATTGGAATTTTGACTACAGAGAAATTACTCAAACATTTATCAGTTGCTTGTGAGAAACCACTGAAAATAACATTTAAACCAAGAACAAGTTGTAAGGAAAGAGCCACAGACTTGAGCAGTCCCATAGCACAGCAACATTCAAATCCAAGCCCAGAATAGCATGCAGCTGAGGAAAACAAACTGACCTTGATTTCCTTGGTTTTCTTCTTCCTATTGGATGTATCTTCTCCATTTTTGGTTTTCTCTGACTTTTTCACTGTCTCACCTTCATGTTTCTTGCCAGTAGATACAACCTCAAAGAATTTTCTGATATCCTGAGTCCCATAGCACAGCAACATTCAAATCCAAGCCCAGAATAGCATGCAGCTGAGGAAAACAAACTGACCTTGATTTCCTTGGTTTTCTTCTTCCTATTGGATGTATCTTCTCCATTTTTGGTTTTCTCTGACTTTTTCACTGTCTCACCTTCATGTTTCTTGCCAGTAGATACAACCTCAAAGAATTTTCTGATATCCTGATAAAACGGGGGGGGGGGGGGGGGGGGGGGGGGGAAAACAAA